GAAAATGCAAAGAAGTCACGGATCTCCCTTGCCCATTCATACTTTTCTCAGAGCTACTTGCACAACGGTTACTCCCAAAGTGTAATGCCAAGAGATGTTGCGTTGCCCGTGCCTGAAGATGTGGCCTTAAAAATTTGTAATCCGCCTATGGTTCGTGAACCACTAGGTAGACCAAAACGGTCACGGATAAAAGGTGCATTGGAAACTGCTATGCAGCGGAAGAGGCCTAGAAATGAAAGTGTGTGTGGTAATTGTCACCAACGTGGCCATAATCGTAGGACTTGCAAAGCTTAAATGTATGTGTGTAGTATAATGTCTATCTTTTCGTAATGACTTGGTTTCGTATCGACTTGCAAAGCTTAAATGTATGTTTGTTAAAAAAAAAAGAAAACAGTAATGTAATAACCCATCGATTATGTTTAGACTACAAAAAGTTTGTCAAATCGTTACATACAAAAAATGGTCAGATAAGTCTACTATACTTTCGAAGGACCACCAAGTTTACCATGGTCATACATACATGGTCCTTTGAAAGTATAGACCTAGTTATATCATAATTGTCGTGCACTTAGTCAATATGTCTGCGACAACAAAATATACAAGTCTACCGTCAAGATTTAAATGTGTGTGATAACAAAATAATTAAATCTACGGTAACAAAAGGACTTGTCAAAATAAGTCTACCATGACCTACAAAATAAGTCTACCATCACCCCCAAAATAAGTCTACCATCACCCCTAAAATAAGTCTACCAACACCCCTAAAATAAGTCTACCATCACCGCCAAAATAAGTCTACTAACACCCCCAAAATAAGTCTACCATCACCTCCTATTTCACTGTAGAGAATCCGTAAGCAAAGGAACCTTATCATCTGATTGAGCACGAGGGTTTGGATCAGATAACTGAACAATCTCATCTTCTGGTAACTCGTCCATAATATCAGCTGCAAGTTTAAGACGAATAGCAGCCACATTGGAATCACACAAACCATCGTAACAATGGCCAAGAGCTAAACACTCGATATATTTCAGCGTATACACACCACAATCACCCGATTGCACATTCTGTGGTATAGTTTTGATCCGGTATACATTCCAAGCTTGCTCACTCATTTTTTTCCTTTCGGCAACGGGTGCAACCTACTTCAGCAACATCAGAATCATCTTTGCGTATGGCTTGCAAGTTTCTTTGATGTAGTTTTCGCTGTACAGAGTGATTATGCTATCGTAGACTTTCACCTTTTTTTGAACCAAGTCTACCACAACAGCCACCCAGTGGTCGTCTGCGATATTATGAGGAATGTACAAGATATCAACATCCTTAACCCATTTTTTGTTCATCGCAGCAAAATCTGGAATTGTACCATTGATGAGGTGGAAATATCCTGACGGAAACACCCAAGTCTTCTCTTTTCCGAGGAAGTCTCTTCTGTATTCTCAACACCAAAGGGCCACAAACAACAGATCTACAAAAGAAATCCTTTCACTTTTGAAAGGAGTTGGATCTTTCAAAGACCTCTGTCGAAGCAAATTCATGCCAGCAACCATGTGCTGCAAAAGAAACGACCTCTATTAGTCTAGCACAACAGATATTAAATCTACCAAAACAGATCAATAAGTCTACCACCACTACAGAAAAATAAGCCTACCACAACAAATGAATAAGTCTACCACAACAGAACATTAAGTATACCACCACAATAGATAAATAAGTCTACCACTACAACAGATAAATAAGTCTACCACCACTACAGCATATTAAGTCTACCACAACTGATTATTAAGTCTACCACGACACAACATATAAACAAGTCTACCACCACTACAGACTATTAAGTCTACCGCAACAGAAAATTAAGTCTACCACAACTGATTATTAAATGTACCTTTACTTACCGTAATTTTCAGCCACCCGTACTGGTTCTCTGGCCACAATGCTTTAGGTGTCATCAATACCAAGTAGAATTCTACTCCTGCTAAGCTAGTGTCGAATAGATTTTCCCTATAAAATGGAAAGGGTAAAACGCTGAGAAGGATGAAAAGAAGTTGTACATTCTACAAGATTTAATAGTAAGCAGGGTAATGACTTACAAATCAGTCTTCACGTACTCAACCAACCGATCCAGTTTACGCTATTCCATCTGTTCAAAAGGATCGTAGACAGCAGAAGAAGCGGTTACACCACACATGATCCACATAGTTCCAGAGCTTCCTATGAATGGGTCCACTTGGGTTTTTGCAAGAGTTAGTTTGCGACGTTCGAGGACACTAAAATCATCATTCGTTGTTAAGTCAAGAAGTTTATCTAATGCACCTCCCAATGCTTTGTTAACCTTCTCATCCTATAGGTCAGAATTAGGTAGCACCGAAGGGGGATGTTTACCTTTCCGAGGAGGTGTCACATCTCTAGAGATATCAACAATGTCAACAGTGGCATTCTTCTCCTTCTTCTCTTGAACATCTTTAGTCATATCAAAATAACTATACATGTCCTTCTTCTTCCCTTTCGGAGCAAGTGGTTCAATTTCTTGTTTCAACACCTTTGTCTCAACTTTCTTGTTTCTAACAACACGGTTAATGGGGAAATGAGCCTTGGATGTTGCCTGCTACTCTACCATCCATGACTGATGTGATGATAACATAGTTAAATACGTAAACCAATGTAAAGATTGACCAAAATGCTTGTAATAAATCCATTGAAATTTAATAAATAAGTCTACTACAACTTTAAGCATAAGTCTACTACAACTTCCTAACATCAAGGAACTTCCTAACATCAAGGTTAAGTAAGTCTCACTTGCATTAAAAGAGAGACTTACGTACCGGCTCTTCGCACACCTTCGATTGTGCATCTAGCTCAATTGGCTCAATTGCCTTGATTTTGTTGTTCTCAAGTGATGTCCTCCAAGTGTTGATGACTTCGTACTTCTCATCCAATACCTCCACTTTATCCACCAATGACCTAAGGAGCGAAAGAATTTCATCTTCCCTTTTCTTCGGGACGCTTACTTCACCACTAGGACTCTCTTCATGCGTCATTCTCTTTTTCTTCACAATATCTTTTCGTCAACGTCCTCGCTTTCCTTATCACTACGTCTGTGAGTTTCCTTCTGTTTCTTCTTCTCCTTCTTTTCCTTTTTGTCCTCATTCTCCTTCTTGTCCTTCTTCTTCGAACTCCTTTGCTCAGAACTTTCCTCAACAACCTTCTTCACTATCCTCTTCCTCTTACCAACATCCCAAAAAGACTCATTTAAGCATCCACCAAGAATATCTCGTATCATGTTATCAAGCTTCTTATCTTTTTTTCTCCTTTCCATGGAGGATATATCTCCTCCAAAGGCTTCACCACCAGCTGTCTAACGCGAACCTACAAACAACGCAACCCTGTTATCAAACAAGTCTACCACAGTAATCAAACAAGTCTACCATAACATATAAATAAGTCTACCATAACACAACTAATTATTACTCTTGCAAACAACTAAATAAGTCTACCTCTCAAATGCTTCTAGATTCAACACTCTTTTCGCAGCCATGAGAGGGATTCTACTACTACGAGCAAACCCATATATTCCAACATGTAAGACAAAGAGCAATGCTACCATTTTTCTCTTCTCATAACTCCATGTCCTGCAAAAGTCAAAAACAACAATCAACTCGTCCCAACTAGGTGCGAGACCTACATTAAACTTCATATCCTTCCACAAATCAGTGTGGTCAACATCCAATATATCTTTATCATCAAATGGGTCACACTTCAGCGTAGTGATCTCCGCGAACTCATGTAGAGAAAACCTCATCGGACGACCACTAACCAAAACCCAAATCTCATTCATCCTATCAATGGCCAATTGATTCCCAAGGATATGTTGGATAGGCTTCGCAGTCCATATCATCTTCGATAAAGCAAGCTTTAGAATCACTCCAACACCATGATTATTCATGATGTCATTGAAAACCTCTTCCCCAACAGCTTCAAGCATCTTATCAAAGTCACCCAACTTGCAATTGTGATGCAAACTTCTTTCCACCGATGGTGATTTTCGGATCAATCTCTCGGGATACTCAAGTGGCACAATAGAAGAYGAYATTTCTGTACAATAAGATAAATCATGTCAGCATTCAGAGAGAAATAAATCTACCATGATGAAGAGAAATAAATCTATCATCAAGTAAAATAAATCTACCATGAAGAGTATTAAATCTACCATCAAGTAAAATAAATCTACCATGAAGAGAATTAAATCTACCATGAAGAGAAATAACTCTACCATCAATCATTTCAATTTTAAAACCCATTCTTAGCAAATCTACCATCAAACGATAACAAATCTACCACCAAGTACAGTGTCCAAAGATACAATCAAAACAAACAAGGGTCCAACAAACAATGAAACTTATAACCCAATCTTAACTCATCAAGTCTGTCATTATAAAGTTTAACAAATCTACCAAAACTATAATAACAAATCTACCACAACTATGATAACAAATCTACCACAAAAAAAATCAATCTCTAAACATAATATCAAGTTCTCTCACCAGAACCATCGATTTTGTCGTCCCAAATCTGAAGGAAACACGATTTCGAATACAAATCTGCAAAAGATATTGAAGATTTTAGGGTTTCGACATTTTTAGAACAATGCAACAACCCAAATGAAAACGAAAATCCATTTACCTGTTCTACGAACAACCAACAACAAACCCTAAACTCGCCGGAAGTTTTCGTCGACGACTCGCCGAAACCCTAAATCACCGAAGAAACACACTGTCACCGTCGTTCAAAATCGAAAAAAGAAAGTAAATAAACCACAGACTAAAATCAGAAAACTTACCATTAAACTGCCGTCGTTCTCCTCGTTCTCTCCGAAATCGCTGCTGTTGCGAGGAGCCGGAGAAGAAGAAGATTTCTGAGAAGAAGAAGAGTCGCGCTCGTGTTTTGTTTTTTGAATTTGTTTTTTTTAGGTCAAATGGCATTTTTGTAATAACAAAACATAACTCTAGTTTATATGTCTTATAAACCCTTTCTTAGTATTTTGATATTTTATCAAGACTATTCTAATAATTAGTCCATTTGTCAAGTCTATTCTAGTAATTAATCCGAAAAAATACAAAAACAATCATACAAGTACAACAAACAGATTAGACTAGACTCATTTCCCCTTAAAGACTTTTTGCTTCTTCGTTTGTATAACACAAACTCTTGAATTGAATTGTTACACAACACCAATGTTCAAGAATGCATAATCCGAACCTAGACGATTCAATATGCGATCTAAGCGTTTTACAAAAATACATAATATATTAGATATATATAGTAAATTATATATAAAAACATAATTTATGAATAAGAAAATTTATATTGTATTTATATTAACCATTTTATACCAAAATATATAGAATATTACGATTTTTATATAAAAGTTTATATTATGTTATTATTATAATACCATAATATTTTAGGCGGTATAAACGGTAATCGCCACGGTTTATAAGTGCCTAGCGCCTAAACGCCGCCTAGAAGAAACTGCACAACACAAACATTCAGATTAAACGTAGTAATTCGATAAAACTGATAACAAATGCTGATTTTCATTCAATTAACCATACACACTTGGGAGATGTTTGAACACTTCTTCATATTCCACAAAATGGAGCAAAATTGTTTATGGTTTTTGACTTTTGATCGTGGGATGGATACTTTGGTCAATTAAGTTATCATAATGCGTACTCTTAAATCACTAAAATCGTTGTTAAAATATTCATCAAGCCATCCAAAAAGGGGCTTTAGCTTGGTGCGTACATGTAATAAGACTTGAAAACTCGTATTCCCCAAACCTAGTGAGTTCCGCGTTAGTTATAAAATTACAAGTCACTTTTGTTTTGTTTACTGATGTTATAAACTGTTAGTGTTAATCTTCC